TAGTCTCAGCAGAACCCACTTCCTACCTTGGCACAGCAACCCATAATCAGGAGGGAGCTCACAAATATGGAGCCTCTCCCGGAGATCTCAGCATACCAGCGTCAGGCACACCAGCCCTTGGGACTTAACAGGGGAGAAATGAACCCTCAAAACATTTGGCTTTGAAAATCAGTGGTGCTTATTACATCCGGGAGATCCAAAGTGCTGTAGGGAACTAAGGCTCTGCTCTTAAAAGGCTCATAGGTAGACTCATTTGCCACAGAACTAGTGCAAAAGCAGCAGTTTGAAAAGCACCTAGGACTATATATTTGTGAAGGAGAAATTTATTTCCTAATTATAAAAGCATCTGTCAGAGGGACAGGGGCCTACTGGGATTCTCTCTAGAGATGGAGGCACAGATGGGTGCCATTTTTGCGCTCTTCCTCCACCTTGTGCCATTTTACTGACTTGCTAGCACCATTTTTGCACTCTCCCTTTATCTTGCTGGCACTGGCTGGCACATGCACACAGTCACAGCACTCTCCAGGAGAGCTGCCCTGCTAATGCCAGGGGATGTGCCCCACTCTCCTGCTGCCTTCTTAAAGCTGGTGGACATACACACACACACACAAATCTGATTTAAAAATGGGTAGAGGATCTGAATAAATATTTTTCCAAAGAAGACATACAGATGGCCAACAGGCACATGGAAATATGCCCAACATTACTAATCGTCAGGGAAATGCAAATCAATACCACAATGAGATATCATCTCATATCTGTTAAGATGGTTATAATCAAAAAAACAAGAAATAACAAGTGTTGGCAAGAATGTGGTAAAAAGGGAACCCTCTTGCCCTGTTGGTAGGAATGTAAATGGTGCAACTACTATGGAAAATAGTATGGAGGTTCCTCAAAAAATTAAAAACAGAACTACCATATGATCCAGCAATTCCACTTCTGGGTATTTATCCAAAGAAAATGGGAACATGAATTCAAAAAGGTATGTGTACCCCTAGGTTCATTGCAACACTATTTATGATAGCCAAGATATGGAAACAACCTAAGCATCCATCAGTGGGTGAATGGATAAAGAAGTTGTGGGTAAATACATAACGGAATACCACTCAGCCATAAAAAAAGAATAAAATCTTGCCATTTGCAACAACATGGATGGACTTTGAGGGTATTATGCTAAATGAAATAAATCAGAGAAAGACAAATACCATATAATTTCACTTATTTGTGGAATCTAAAAAAACAAAACATACTAACAAACAAAGAAAAACCAAACTAATAGATACAAATAATAGATTGGTAGTTACCAGTGGGGAGGAGTTTGGGGGGGTGGGCAAAATGGGTGAAGAGGGTCAAGGGGTACAATCTTCCAGTTATAAAATAAATAAGTGCTTGGGTCATAATACATAGCAGGGTGCCCATAGTCAGTGATATTGAAAGTTGCTAAGAGAATAAATCTTAAAAAGTTCTCCTTACAAGAAAAAAAAAAAGATTTTTATAATTTTGGTGACAAATGGTAACTTGACTTGCTGTGGTGATCATTTGTCAGTGTATATAAATATCAAATCATTTTGTTGTACACTGAAAACTAATATAATGTTATATGTCAATTATACCTTAGTTAAAATTATCTTTAAGTCTCAGTTTTACATTTCTTCTAGTGTCTTTCCAATTCTGATCCCCACCCATCATTTTTACAACAGAAGAGCTGTTTCTGATGATAATTTATTCTGTGAAATGTTCTTGTCTTGTGATCATAGCAATATGTTCAGGGTTGTATCCGGAATTATTTACCTAAATTTTACACATCAGTAGGTCTGGTTTTCGAACACAAGAGTGTGAATAATAGTTTAAGGAATTGGTTGTGATAACAAAAAGAACGAAAGGAATAATGAGAAACACATTCTGCAAATAGGTGGCCATGAAAAGCTATTTCAGTTTTTTTAAGAGTAACAACTTACACTTGGCAGAGAGCACCTAGGAAGATCCAAGAGTCTTTGTCCTTTCAGTTTCATTAAAATATGAAAGAACTCTATTAATAATAGACCCATGTAGCTTCTGCAACCCTAACTTACTGCTGTCTTCACCATGTGAATCATCATATTGTGGACATCTGCTCTTACTGACTTGAGCTTTCCCAAACTCCTGCCTCTTTTTCTATTATGCTTTTTCCTTTATTTGCCAATTCCATTTTATATTAAATGTTTTCATCACACATCCTAAGTGAATTTAAAAATTAGTGTTACTGTAATTTTTCTGTAGTTATTGACTCTGGAACTTTTTAAGGTTGATTTTAAGAGGAAAATGAGGAAGTAAAAGATAAAGACAGAATATAAGACAGAAAATGGGAATGGTGAGGAGAAGCAGGCCAATAATAATAAAAACAACAACAACAAAGAAGCAGAAAAGACCTCAAAATGATAATTCCCATAGAAGTTTAGGGGAAGAGGAAGTTTATACATATACCTTTCTTATAAAGTTTTTGAATAGTTCTCTACTTTTCATTTGGGGTATATAGATTTCATTTTTCAGATTATGGTAAAATATTCCAATTAAATGACAACTTGTCTAAGAGCTCTCTTTAATTATTTTCTTTTTTAGGAAAGAGAACAGTGGTAATTTTAGGTCTTAGTTGGTGATAGCTGGAATGGGGAATGGGGCATCTTAATTTTTTATTTCTTACCATAAGGTTTTTCTGAACCTGAATAATAAATTTAGTTATGACTTATTTAAAAACTTTTTAGCCTGATAATTACTATTTTCTTCATTTCTGGGTTTCATCATAGGTCTTTCACAACAGATCAGTGGTGGAAACAATTAGAATTCAGGAATTTTGATTCATACGTGACATACCTTATTGGATTAAACCAAAATTGATCCAGCCCAATATTTGGTCCCAAAGCAATTTTGCAGGCATTCATGGTTACTGTCCAGAATAACAACTCTGAGAGTTAGGTATATACTGCAAGCAACCTTCTCTCATTAAGTTCTAGTAATTTTTCTGTTTCTCAAACTTACATACTTTCATCTTCTGCTTTTATCAGAGACTAAAGTCCCTTTTAGTTCCAGAAATATCTCTATTACTTTGAAATAGTTCTATTCCTAATTTAGGAGAAAAGAAGTCAGAAGAACTGGATTTTAGTCCTGTGTTTGTCTATACTTAATTGTTTTACCTCTGTTAACGAATTTCACTTCTTTGGAACTCATTTTATTCTCATTTATATGATAAACACTAAATAGCTCTGAAGTATTTTCTTATTCTAAATAAATGTGATAGAATTCATGGTCATACCCTTGTTTGCTGTTGTTACTATTTTCTATATGATTTCATAGATCTGGCCATATTTCTAATTTCTGTCTTCTTAGTAAAATAACTAACTGCCCCATTCTTCCTTCCCTCAACTTTAAAAGTATTTTCTGAGTTTCTTTGGTCATGAAAATTGTATCTCTTTCATCGTTCTGTATTGATGTCTTTCTTAAGATAGAGCTGATGAGAACAGCACCAAGTACTGAAGGTGGGAGCAGATGTGCCATGATATTATATATATGCAAGACCATATTTTCTGTTTTATTTCCATTACTTTTTTTCTGTTACTTTTTTAATGCCAATATTTCCAGGACTTTTTAGCCATATCGTTTCAAAATATCTTTCAGGCCAACCCTTTGCCTCTGGACTAGACTATTCTTAAGCTCTTTACTATTCAATATCTTCTGGGACAGAGATTTCACACCCTGTCTCTCACCTTCAGGAAGTTCTTATGGCTAACATAAATCTTGCTTTCTGCAATTTAAATTGAATTTATTTCCTTTTTCTTTTCACTGTGGAGATGAGAACAGCCCCAAACTAAAAGTGATGCTTTCTTATGAGGGCCAGTACTGAATATAGAGGAAAGATTATTCCCAGTCTGGCATCAATTTTAGCTTTTATATATTAAAACTTCCTGACTTTCATTTCAATATTCTAATGGTCTCAGGAGATGCTATTCTTTATGGCCCAAATGAAATAATAGTTACATATCCAATATTAATGTTTATTATGTCTTATGCTAACTAGAACCAAATGAGGTACTAACATAAGAAATGAGTTCTGGGATGGGGTGGCTGGGTGATAGACATTGGGGAGGGTATGTGCTATGGTGAGCGCTGTGAATTATGTAAGACTGTTGAATCGCAGACCTGTACCCCTAAAACAAATGATACACTATATGTTAAAAAAAAAAAGGGAAGAAGAAGATAGCAGGAAGGAAAGAATGAAGAGGGGAAATCGGAGTGGCAGATGAACCATGAGAGACTATGGACTCTGAGAAACAAACTGAGGGTTCTAGAGGGAAGAGGGGTGGGGGATGGGTTAGCCTGGTGATGGGTATTAAAGAGGGCACGTTCTGCGTGGAGCACTGGATGTTATACGCAAACAATGAATCATGGAACACTACATCAAAAACTAATGATGTATGATGATTAACATAATAATAAAAAATAAAAAAAGCATTTGAGGACTTTAGCAGATTTGTGTTTTTCTTAATATAACTATAGTCATGGGACGGGGTTTTTGCCTATGGTTTGTAGATTTTATCTCATTTTATTAGTCATACTGTATGCATGTTTAATTCATCCATATCTTCCTTATAAGTGATGAGAATAGAAACTTGTTCTTTAACACAGGCTGTCTTGAAGCAGAGTTTAATATGTGTGGTCAAAAAGCCTTTGATACCTAAGCTAAGAAATGTGTTAGGTACTGTAAAGAAAAAACACATTTTCTGCCATTGAGGGGCCTATAGTCTTATTGGGGGAAAATATTATAAAACTTGTGATGATAGAATACTTATAAAATAATATATGATAGTACATATAAAATAACATGTTTAATGTGAATTTTATTTTTCATTTAAGGTTAATACAGAAAATATCTTATACTATGCAGATCTGTTAGCTAAGAAGGCACCCTAAAATGTTTAACTAATTGTTTCATTCTGATTTCTGTTTTTTTTTTTTTCATTTTAAAGGTTCAGCAGTTTTCTGAAAAAGCCTTCCTCTTACAGCTTTGGAAAATTCATGAAAATGCCTTAGAAAGACAATGTAGTGAAATTACAAACCAGAGGAATATGCTTCTCCAAACCTTTGTAAGCCTACAGCCACTTAGAAATATCTATTTCACTAACTGTATTGAAAAGTATTTAGATATACTTAGGTGTACTGTTAGAAAATTATCTGTATGCATATTGGCAGATAATCCTGTTCAGTTATGGAAAAGTATTAAGTGCTATTTAAAACCAGGTGGTAGAGTAATATAGCTAGAAAGAATTCTATTGGCAGGGATGCAATACAGAAATTATTTGCAATTGTAATAAGCATAAAAAAACCCAGTGAAACTGATTTGAATTGCTCAGGCTTTGAGACCTTGGTTTTAATGCTTTTGAAAGACAGAGAGGTTCACACTTAAGGCATATTTATGGATCTTGGTGAAGTGATAGATTTTGTTTATCTTTTTATCTTAAGTCAGAACCAACAAACTTAGTAGTTTTAAATGACAGGGCCAGTTTAGGAATATGACTTATAATTAATTGAATTTCAAAGAAAATACATTTAAAATATTAAAAATATTTATCTGAAGTCAGAACCAACAGGCTTTGTGCTTATACATGACATGTCTAGTTTCTCAATGTAGTTCACTATTAGTTGACATTTCTTAGAAAAAATAGAAAAATACAGTAATATTTAGGTTCTGTCATTGCGCAGAGTTTTTGGAAATTCTTTCTTCTTCAGGTTGATGTTTCATAAAATTTGAATTATTTTGTAGAACTGAATTGGAAATAAATATATAATTTTACCTCCTTTGTCCATATTTTAAAAGATTTCCTAGGATTTCCTTATTTGTTTGTTTTTTCTATAGCAGTAATTCCTTTGAGTGTAGATTTTCATTTTCACATTTGCACATTTAATTATTTTACCCAATTTTATGTTGCAATGACAAAATGGCACCCATATATGGCTATAAGTTAATACATAAGTAAACACAGATATAATCACAAGTAGTAGAATTTCTATCCCAATAATACCCCCCAAAACATTAAGGATAAAACTTTCATGTGGAAATAGTTGGTTATTAGTATGTAATAGCTTCACTTTTTTATTAATATTGCTGGAGGAATTTTTGTGATAACACCAGGAAGTATAATTTTATATTTTTGTTGTTAATAATTCCAAATGATTGCATTTTAAATCATTAAAGAAAAATATTATTACAATTAACATCTATATTTGATCTTTTGTTTGTTTTCCAGGGGGCTACAAAGAAAAGAATGACAGAGGAGGAAGAAAAATTTATTAAGGAAATTACAGACTTCAATAATGAGTATGAAGTAACAAAGAAAAGAAAGCTTTTGATAAAAGAAAATGTCAAGATTGAAATATCTGACTTAGAAAACCAGGCGAACATTTTGAAGAGGGGTATGAGTATATAGTGCTACCTCATTTATCTGTCATTAATGAAAATAACTTATTTTGAACCAGTGAATTTTCCAGAAATTTAACTTTTTCATAAGTAAATTGGTTATTGCATACTATTCTTTTACATTTATCTTAATTATCCTAATGGAAATGTATCTTTTATTGTGAGCAGTTTCAAGTTCTTTAGAAGTAGGTGTGACATGAGCATTTAGTCATTCATTCAATTAACAAATATCTGTTACTCTGTTATGTGATAGGCATTGTTCTGGGTCATGGGGATATAAAACTAAAAAGTGGAGGAATCCAATATGTAAGCAGATATTTATCATATGATGTGATAGAAGCTCTAATAAGGGTAGGACTGGTATGATGATCCTCATTTTACCATCATTTTACCATCAATACAATTTAAACTAGGAAACAAGGTTACACAGTGGGGTGGGGAGAATTTCATTTCAGGAAACCTAGCATGCAGGTTATTGCAATCTGTGATAAGATCCTGAACTAAAGACATTGCCAAAGAGAAGAGAGGGTAAATTAAAGAGATGTTTAGGAATGATGATAGGATTTTCACATTTATCACTGATTAATGTGAACAAAAATAGAGAAAGTTAGGGATGAATTCCAGTTTCCATATGTCAGAAATTGGGTAGAATATGGTACCAGGAGGAAGAGCAGAGGTAGAGAAGCCTGTTGGAACTGTAGCCTATTCTGGACAAAATGATTGAGTTTTGTTTCAGGCATTTTTAGTTGGAGATGTCTATGGAATATACAGGGGAGGATGCCCAGGTGGCAGGGGAAGATTTGATTGTGAAGCTGGTAAGAGAGATCAGAGCCAGAGCGTTAGGTTTGGGACTGAATCCAGAGGAGTTGGTGACATCATTCAGAGAAAACATACAGAGGGAACATAGATGAGGAGCGAAGACCAAAGCCAGAAACTGGGAAAGCATTACATTTAAGGAAAGAAAGAAAAAGAATGGAACAGAGTAGTCAAAGAAGGCAAGAGAAGAACCAGCAGAGAGTAATATTTTAGAAACCAAAAGCAAAATATGTATTCCCTCAAATTAGTGGAAAACAAAATAGGATATTAATTTGATAATCAGAAGATGTCAAGCGCAGTAGCATAGAGTAGAGCAGTAGTAATAGATTGGAGTCAATGGGAGTTGAAGTAGAAAATGAAAATATAAATGATATTAAATGGAAAATTAGTTTTTAATGGAAGCCTTTCTAAGATGTACTGTTACTTTGATGCCTTTAGTAAGTGGAGAATAATAAACACATTTAACTTTTTTATTGACTTGGAGCTATCAGTATGAATAATTTATTGTTTTGCTTTGCATATGACAACTATTTTAAGTAATATTCATCAGGCTTATACTGTATAACAACCACCATCCTAAAGATTTCATTGCTAATATGTTGATTTCATTTAAGTCTTAATTTTACCATTTGATAGTTGTGTGATTTGGGGCAAGGTGCTAAACTTTTCTTTGGCTCAGTTTCCCCATCTGTAAAGATGGGGCCTAGTGGTCATGACCTTAACAAAGGTTGTTGTGAGGATTCAATGAAATAATACTGAAGCACATAGAATGCTGCCTGCCACATAATTAAACCCTCAAAAAATGTGAGGATTATATTTTTAGTCTCATTCTATAGATGAAGGAAATAAGGTTCTCAGAGATAAATTACTTTGGGTAGAGAGTGTAGGACAGAGGCACACATCTGGAAAGCTTTAAAAAATATTAAATGCTTGAGTCTCATTCAAGACCTATTGAAACAGAATCTGTGGGAGAGGATAGGGAACATAACTTTTTAAAAATCCCTTAGGTGACATTGATGTGTACTTCAATAACAAGTTAGAATACAAAGTTAAATAGGTACATACTTTAAAACTAACTTCTGCAAAAAGTCATGGATATCACCACTTCTATCCAACATAGTATTAGAAATTTTAGCCAAATCAGTTAGGCAAGAAGAAGAAATAAAAGGCATCTACATTGGAACAAAAAAAGTAAAATTGTCTCTGTGCCCAGATGATAATGCTCTTATATATAGAACACCTAAGGATACACAAAAAACTGCTGGGACTAATAAATAAATACAGCAAAGTTGCAGTATACAAAATCAACACACAAAAATAAGTTGCATTTCTATGTATGAGCAATAAGTGATCCAAAAAGGAAAAAAAATTAAATTCCATTTATAATAGTATTAAAAAGAATAAAATACTTAAGAATAAATTTAACCAAGGAGGTAAAAGACTTGTACATTGAAAACCATATAAAACATTGCTTAAAGAAATTAAAGAAGACCCAAATAAGTGGAAAGACATCCCATGTTCATGGATTGGAAAAATTGGTATTGTTAAAATGACATTATTACCCAAAATGATGTATAGATTCAATGTAATCTCTATCAAAATCCTAACAGCATTTTTTTCATGAATTGAAAAACCCATCCTAAAATTCATATAGGATCCCAAAGGATCCCAAAGAGCCAAAATTATTTTGGAAAAGAAGAACAAAGTTGGAGGACTCAACATTTCCTGATTTCAAAACATACTAAAATGCCACAGTAATCAAAATTGTATGGTACTAGAATAAGGACAGACATATAGAAAATCAGGATAAAATAGAGAGCTCAAATATAAACCCTCATGTATGTGGTCAAATGATTTTTTTATAAGAGTGCCAAGACTATTCAATGGGAAAGGGTAGTCTTTTCAACATATAGAGCTAGGAATACTGGATACCACACTTACCTTACACAATATATAAAAATTAGCTAAGTCTTAAACTTAAGTAAAACAACAAAACTCTTAGAAGAAATCGTACAGGAAACACTTCATCATATTGGATTTGGAGATGATTTCTTGGATATCAAAAACACAGGCAACAAAAGAAAAAATAGATAAATTGTATTTCATTAAAATTAAGATCTTTTGTATATCAGAGGACACTATCAAGAGAGTAAAAACACAACTCACAGAGAGAATGAGTTGTGTTTTTTATGGAAGAAAATATTTGCAAATCATATCTTCGATAAGGGATTAATATCCAGAGTATTTTTTTAAGTAGTCTCTGTACCCAATTTAGGGCTTGAACTCATAACCCCAAGATCAAGAGTCATATGCTCTACTGACTGAGCCAGCCAGGTGCTTCTAATGTCCAGAATATAGAAGAACTACAACTCAACACCAAAAAAATAAACAACTCAATTAAAAAATGGGTAAAGGACTTGAGTAAACATTTCTCCAAAGATATGGCCAATAAGCACATGAAAAGGTGCTCCATATCCACTAGCCTTTAGAGAAATGGAAATCAAAACCACAAAGAGATACTACTTAACACCCATTAGAATGGCTATTATCAAAAAAATACAGTCTCCACAACATGATATTCACAATGTTCAGGATGCAATTCAAAATTACTTGACTTCTGAAGAATCAGTGAAATGTGACCTAGTGTCAAAAGAAAACCATGGGATGCCAAACCTACAGTGATCTAGACATTGGAATTATGAAATACTTTATAGCAGCTATTATTGAGCTATGCTCAGTGAGTTAAGGAAGATGCACTTGTAATAGATGAAAAGATAGGTAATTTCAGTGGAGAAATAGAAAATGTAAAAAAAAAAACATATTAGAACTGAAAAATACATTATCTGAAATAAAAATGTCACTGAATAAGCTTAATAACAGAATGGACCTGATAGGAGGTCCAGTGAACATGAAGTGATAGGAAATCCAGTGAACATGAAGATAGATCGATAGAAATTGTCCAATCTGAAAAAGATGAGAAATTAAAATAAAATGAAACAAGAAATTAGAAACTTAGGAACCTGTAGGACAATTTTAAAAGGTCTAACATTCAAGTAATTGGAGTCTCTGAAGGAGAGGAAAGAGAATTGGCAGAAAATATATTTGAAGAAATCATGGCAGAAAGTTTCTTAAATTTTCTAAAAGACATTAATTTGCAGATTCAAGAAGTTAAGCAAACCCAAATAGGGTAAATTCAAGGAAATCCATGCCTAGCCACTTAGTAGTCACACTTAAAAAGTCAAAGAGAAAGAGAAAATCTTGAAAACAGGAAACAGTAACTCTAATGACTATGTACCTGTAACTAGAAATGATAAAGTCAAGAAGACAGTGCAATAACATCTTGGAAGTGTTGAAAGAAAATTTTCCCTATCCAGTGAAAATATCCTTCAAAAATGAAGTTAAAAAAAGACATTTTCAGATAAATAAAAATTAGGGGAATCCATTGCCATCATGCCTGAAAGACAAGAAATGCTAAGGAAAGTCTTCCAAGTAGAGGCAAAAATAATACTGGAGAGAAACTTGGATCATATTTAATGAATTAAAATAAACAGAAATGGCAAATATATGGATAATTATAAATACCTATTTTTTCTCTTTAAAAGACACATGTAATTGTTTAAAGCAAATAATATATTGTCTTGTAGAATTTATACTGTATACAGAGGCAATTTGTATACATGCATACCATATGCATATATGACAGCTATCACATAAAGGGCTGGAAAAGAGGACTGGTAAATGGATCTATACAGTTCTATATAGCTCTCAGAAAACCAGGAATAGAAGGGAACTTTCTCAACCAGATAAAGAACTTGTTTGAAAAGCCTACAGCTAATATTACACTTAATGGTGAAATATCGAATACCAGTATCATTTGAAATGGTGACATATTAAATACTTTCCCTGCAAAGATTGAGAATAAGGCAATGATGCTTATTCTTATCACTTCCATTCAGTACAGCTCTGGATGTCCTAGCCATTTTAACCTTTTCAATGAGACAAAATAAATTTGCCTCTATTTACAGATTACATGATTGTTTACTTAGAAAATTATGAGGAATTTACAAAACAATTACTAAAATTAATAAGTCAATATGGTAAGGTTATAGGATATAAGGTATATATTTAAAAATCAGTTGAGAGGCACCTGGGTGGCTCAGTCGGTTAAGTGTCTGATTCTTGTTTTCGGCTCAGGTCATGACCTCAGGACTGCCCAGTGTGGAGCATGATTAAGATTCTCTCTTTCCCTCTCCTATACCCCTCCCCTCCCACTATCTCTCTCTAAAGAAAAAAAGAAAATCAGTTGAATTCTTATATACTAACAGCAAACAATAGAAAATGGAATAAAAATGCCATTTAAACAGCATCAAAAAACAAAATAGAAACAAATTTAACAAAAGACATGAGGGACTTCTATACTATAAACTATAGAGCATTGCTGAGAGAAATTAAGGAAGACCTAAATAAATAGATCTATCATGTTCATGGATTAGAAAACTCAATTTTGTTAATAGGTCAGGTCTCTTCAAATTTATCATAGTTTCAACAGAATCTCAGTAAAAATCCCATTAAGTTTTAGTAAGCCTTGACAAGCTGATTCTAATACTTATATGGAAATGTAAATCACTTAGAACAGTCAAAATTTTTTAAAAGACCAAAATTTAGGGATTTATACTCCCCGATTTCAAATTTTGTTGAAAAGCTATAGTAATCAAGACAGTGTGTCACTGGCTTAAAAATAGGCGTATAGGTACCACTGGAATGAATGAGTCCATAAGGTCAGTTGATTGTCAACAAAGGTAACAGGGTAATTCAGTGGGGAAAGGAAAGTCTTTTCAGTAAATACTGCTGGAACAATTGGACTTCCATTGCAAAACAATGATTCTTAAATCTTACTTCACACCATATTAAACATTAACTCAGAATGGACATACACCTAAACATAAAAGCTAACATCATGAAACTCTTAGAAGAAAACATAATAGGAAATCTTTGCCATCTTGGGATAGGCAATGATTTCTTAGATGGGACACAGAAACATGAACCATAAAAGAAAGAAAAAAAATACATTGGATTTCAAATAAATTAAGAAAAAAACACTATTAAGAAAATCAAAAGACAAACCACAGACTTGGAGAAAATATTTGAAATACATATATCTGCCAGTGTACTATTATCTAGAATATAATGAACTCTTACAACTTAATAATAAGAAGGCAAAAAACTGATTCTAAAAGGGGAAAAAGATTTGAACTTCACAAAAGGGCATATACTAATGACCAATGAACATATGAAAAGATATTCAATATCTTTAGTCATCAGGAAAATACAAATTAAAACCACAATGTAATATCACTGTACATGCATTCAATTAAAATTAAAAAGACTGGTCATATGAAGTGTTGGCAAGAATGTGGAGCATCTGAAATGCATATGGTACTGATGGGAATGTAAAATAAATGGTACAACCACTTTGGAAATTGTTTTGCAGTTTCTTAAAACATTAAACATACATTTACCATATGACCCAGCCATTCTACAACTAGATACACCAAAGAAGTGAAATTTAGGTACACATTAAGTTTTTAGTGACTTTATTCACAGTAGCCAAAAACTGAACATAACTTTTAAATGTCCAGTAAGAGGTAAATGGATAAACAAAATTGGTGTATTCCATGCAGTGGAATACTCAAGAGATAAAAAAATAACAGATCTGCTCACAGACAACATGGTGCCTGAAAGAAGCTAGACACAAAAGAACACATACTACATACAATGCAAACTGTATGGGACATCAATGATTTGGTACCTGAAAGAAGCCAGACACAAAAGAACACATACTACATACAATGCAAACTGTATGGGACAACAAGCAGGCAAGTGACAACAAGCCGATCGGTGTGGTTGCCTGGGTCAGAATGAATAAATTGCAAAGGGGCAGAGGAAGCTGTTGGGACTGATAGAAATACAGTTTCTTGATTGTGGTGGTGCTTTCACGAGTGTATGTGAGAGCCAAAACTCATAGATTTGTATGCTATTAAGTGGATGGATATACTTCATGTAAATTATTCCTCCAAAAAAGTGATAAAGAAAAAATCCTTGATACCACACATACTGTAGGAGCCCTTTATTTTGTATCCTTTCTTCCAGAAATATGGATTTATTTTAATAGATTTGCTTCCATACTACCTGGTGCTCTTGGTCTTTGTACTTTCACAAAGCCCATCTCTACATATATCATAACATTTTTATATGAAACTTTAAACTCTGTAATGGCAGGACTTTGTTTTTTTTTAATGCTCTTTCTCCAATAGTATGAAAGAGATAATTATGAATCCATGACTGCTTCAATAGAAGTATAAAATGAGGTGAAAACATATAATAAGGGAACTTAACCTGGACTAGGAATGAAGGAAATTCTCCCCGAACAAGTGACTTTCAGACTGAGATCTGAAGGGTGATAGGAATTAGCCAAATGGCAGATCTGAGTGTAAATGTCAGAAAATTGGGTATATAAGTCAAGAGCTCCGAGGAAGATTTGGGCTAGAACAGTTAAATTTGGGAGTCACCCAGGAAAAATGTATTGAAAGAAAATAATAAAACCCTGAGGAACACCAGGATTTTCAAAGCAAGAAGAAAAAGGCCAGTGAAGAGTGTGAAAGCTGGCGGGACACATTACTGTGTGAAAGGGGAATCACCTCAGGGAGAGAGCGTTTGAGGGAGTGGTCAGCCCATGTTAAATGCTGCCAAATTGTCAACCATGAAGGCTAAGAAGCAGCCAAGGGTGGTCCCTTGTGATCTTTAGGGAAAGCAACAGATGGAAGTAGGAAAAAAGGAAGGGCAGAGGGCAGGTTGTAATGGGTTGAGCAGTGAGAGCAGAGGAAATGGTGATCATAAGCGCCCACAAGCCCTTTAAGCGAAGTTTCTCTGGATGAGACAGTCCAGTAACCCAGGGGGATATGAAGTCAGGGGAGGGCTTTTAGTGGTTTATGTGTTGTCCTTTTTTCATTTCTGTTTTTTGAGACAGGAGATTTTTGAACATATTAAATAATAATTGACCAGAGCCCATGGAGAAGTAGAGTTGAAAACTCAAGAGAGAAGTAAAGTTCCCAGAGAAGATGGGAAATGGTGCACAGGTGGAGGGACTGGTGGTGATTTCAGAAGAAAACAAAACAAAATAAAAATAAAATCAGGAAACAACCTACATGACCATCAATAGGGGCCTCTAATTATCTGAGTATATATCTCCCTATACTTTTGTGACTATATAAGCCTCGTAAAATCTAATGAAACTACTAGGTCAAAGGAAAATATTAAGAGACTTAATGCCAAATTAGACTCCTTAAAGCACTGAATTAATTAATTTTCCTACCAACTCTATAGGAGAGTGCCTGTTTTCTTTTATTATTATTCTATACCATTACCAATCTGGGTATTATCACTGGCTTTAATCTTTACCAATCTGACAAGCAAAAATATTATTTTTATTGTTGGTTTAAGTCACATTTCTTTGATTTTGCATGATGTTGAATTTACTTCTCTGAATTTATTGATCACTTAAATTTCTTTTTATTTTCCTGTGAACAATCTGTTCATATTCTGTTCATCTTTCTACATTTTTGTTCTTACTGATTTATATGAGTTCTTTGTAAATTAAGGAAGTTAGCTACTTATGTAGTGTCTTGCATAATTGTGTCCTACTTTATTGTTTACCTTTTGAAAAATTAGTAGGAGATGAATCTTAAAGGATGAATTGGAATTTGTTGTGGGGATAAAGAAAGGAAAGATATTTTAGGTAGAAGAGGCAATATTAGCAGTATTGTGGGAGTTTGTAGCCATATAGTGAGTACTATGCAATGTCATTTTAAATATGCTTTACCTTTGAAGGATGGAGTTTTCTTATTATCTCATTGGGAAGCTTGTTTTACTTAGTGATGTTACATTATTTTGAATTCTCTCTAGGTAGTCTAACCATCAATTAACTAATTCTTTTGTACCTCGTTGTTTCTTAATGAATCCTGGTCAGTTTATTAAAAACAGTATCTAGATGGCCAAAGGAAGCCTGCTGTGACTTCAAATTGACCATATGAATCGCTTCAAAGCCTTTTGGCTAAGATTAAGTATAGTATCTGTTCTTATCAGTTTAAAATTGACCATGTGCTGCTTAAATTTTTACTACACACACAAAAAAAGTTAATAATTGCTGACATATTCAAGGCAAAGCCTAAGTGGTTAAAATATGGCTTTTATTTGTCTATTTGTTTCTAGAAATGAAGTCAATGGAACATGATAGTGGCCAGTTAAGTGAACTTCAAAAACAAAAGAGTGAATTAGTACAAGAATTACTTACTGTGCAGAGAAAACTTAAAGGTATTATCTCTATGAGCTAGTTTATTTTGCTGATGAATATAATTACGTACACATAACGGTCGTATTATTATTTCAAATTGCACTAACCTATTGGGATACAGTGTTATTATTGGTATAAAGAAAAAATAGGTAAAACACTAAAATAAACAGTGTTAGATCTGGTAGTTTTGATGTCATAAATTTTATCGAGATCTTTTTTATGCCTTTAATTGCTACATTAAAGTAGAAAAATAAGAATCATGAGTGCATACATTTTACATAAAGCACCAAAAATTAGAATACTGTTCTTATGAATGAATAAAGTTAACTGTTATGATTTTTTTGAAGATTGTAAGCATTTTCTTAATTGTTTAGTTTTTGAAGATAAAAAGAATGAAGCCATTTGTACTACCAAATACCTAGAGGCAGAAAAAGTAAAAATCAGTGAAAAGCCTCAAAATGATGCTGAATGCTTAAGGTAAGAATTCCCTATTATATTTTGGTGTAAAATCTGCTAATTTTTCAAGTTGTCAAAGATATTTCAGCATAAAGCTAAATGTGTAGTTTTTTTTTTTAAGTTCCAGATAAAGATGTTAATTCCTTTTATTTGTATTGTGAAGTATGCTAATGAGAAAACGCTTCACTGTCTAAAAAGTGCTACATGTAAGTTTCACAGTGCATCGGGTTGATAATATTGAAATCAATTTTTTCTTTTACCTCATGGACTCGGTGTTATTCACATCCAAATAGATTAAGACAAAGTATTGGTTCCACAACTATCTTTTCTGTTATTCCTAACTTTTTTTTAAGAGAGATTTTTCTTTTTTCTCTCTTCCTTCCTTCCTTCCTTCCTTTTTCTTTCTTTCTTTCTTTCTCTTTCTTTCTTTCTTTCTTTCTTTCTTTCTTTCTTTCTTTTCTTTTTCTTTCTTTGGGAGAGAAAGAGCACACAGAGGGAGAGGGGGAGGGAGAAGCAGACTGCTGCTGAGCAGGGAGCCCGATGTGGGGCTGGATCCCAGGACTCTGGGATCGTGACCTGACCCGAAGGCAGACATTTAACCGACTGAGCCACCCACGCACCCCTTAACTTTTTTTTTAATGGTTGAAATTATTTTTTATTGTTTCAGATTTCAGGGAAAAAAATCACAACCTACTATTTTACTTGAAATTTATTACTATTTGTTTTATGCTGAAAGAATGAAATGTATTTTCTGTATGGGAAATTGAGCTGCTTTTTATGTATTTGGATAATGAAAGAATGGCTGGTGTTTGAAACCACATAGTCATACACCCAAGGAGAAAATCTTCAGTTTGTTAATTTTACTATTGTTTATTAATAATTCAATGTTATATTTGCTGGCTTAATTTCAAAGAAGTTCATCTACTTTCTGGGCTAAATATAAGGAAAGAAACCTCATTACTGAATCTATGAGAAGCAAATGAAGTCTTCTTTTACATAAATCATATAGAAATATGCCCACTAGAGCTGAACAAATGCTTCATATTAGCAGTGTATTGCCTTAGGCCATAATTTTAGTAGATTGTGAGAAAATACTTGCAATTTAATTTTATGTTAAGTTTTATAAGCATGAAATATCAATCTCTTGGGTGATATGTGTGATGCAGAATGAGTTTCTGTAATGACAATCTGCTCATTGAATTTTTTACACTTTTAAAAATGATAATGCCCACTGGTATCATCATGGTTAGTAGTATAAGGGCTTCTGATGTGAACTCCAGTTTTGTGGGTTTATCACTCAGTCATAAAAATTTGCCCTGGGTTAAAATTAAACACACAAAGTCTGTTAGAGAGTGTTTTTTCCTTCACAGATGGTGACAGAAGAAATCTTAATAGAAAGAAACATTTGTCTATATACATTGTCCTTTTTTTTGCATTTTAGGAGTTATCAAATGAAATGCCAATATTTACCAGTTCCCACTTTAAATTTTTTGATATGTGTAGTTTAGTTTGCTTACTGGTATGTTCCATAAAAGTAATTTCAAGTATAAAGAACCAAGTCAAAGTACCAAATATAAAGATTTTTGGAAATAGGGCCATAAGCCTTATAATTGGTGCAATAACAAGAAGCTAATAATGGCAAGAAAGGATATGACATTTATTCAATATCCTGAAGGGCAAAATTAAGTTGGTTTTATCCCTAAATTTTGGAATATTATTTTCCATCTGTGTGTTCAAATGTATACTAAATTCTGTTGCCTTTTTCTTAAATTTTCAGGATTAACTGCTATTGGTATAGATGCCATTTTTATAGCAGGGTTTCTGAAACTTGGCACTATTGACATTTTGGCCCAGGTCGTTCTTGGTTGCAAGAGGGGAGTCTTATGCAATTTAAGACATTTAGCAGCATCTCTGGCCTCTAAACACTAGATGCCAATAGCACCTCCCACCCCCAGCTTTGACAACCAAAAATGTCTCCAGACATTGCCAAATGTCCCCTGGCCGGAGAGGGGTGGGCAAAATTGTACCCAGTTGAGAACCAGGTTTTTTTTATTGTTATGTTAATCACCATATATTACATCATTAGTTTTTGATATAGTGTTCCATGATTCATTGTTTGTTCATAACACCCAGTGCTCCATGCAGAATGTGCCCTCTTTAATACCCATCACCAGGTTAACCCATCCCCCTCGCCTCCTCCCCTCTAGAACCCTCAGTTTGTTTTTCAGAGTCCATCATCTCTCATGGTTCGTCTCCCCCTCTGACTTACTCCCCTTCATTCTTCCTCTCCTGTTATCTTCTTCTTTTTCTTTTCTCTTAAAATATTTTGCGTTGCTTGTTTCAGAAGTACAGATCTGTGATTCAACAGTCTTGCACAATTCACAGCACTCACCATAGCACATAGCCTCCCCAATGTCTATCACCCAGCCAACCCATCCCTCCCACCCCCAACCACTCCAGTAACACTCAGTTTGTTTCCTGAGATTAAGAATTCCTCATATCAGTGAGGTCATATGATACATGTCTTTCTCTGATTGACTTATTTCACTCAGCATAAGACCCTCCAGTTCCATCCACGTCGTTGCAAATGGCAAGATCTCATTCCTTTTGATGGCTGCATAATATTCCATTGTGTATATATACCACTTCTTCTTTATCCATTCATCTGTCGATGGACATCTTGGCTCTTTCCACAGTTTGGCTATTGTGGACATTGCTGCTATAAACATTGGGGTGCACGTACGCCTTCGGGTCCCTACATTTGTATCTTTGTGATAAATACCCAGTAGTGCAATTGCTGGATCGAATGGTAGCTCTAATTTCAACTGTTTGAGGAACCTCCATACTGTTTTCCAGAGTGGTTGCACCAGCTTGCATTCCCACCAACAGTGTAGGAGGGTTCCCCTTTCTCCACATCCCCGCCAACATCTGTCGTTCCCTGACTTGTTAATTTTAGCCATTCTGACGGGTGTGAGGTGGTATCTCATTGAGGTTTTGATTTGGATTTCCCTGATGCCGAGCGATGTTGAGCACTTTTTCATGTGCCTGTTGGCCATTTGGACGTCTTCTTTGGAAAAATGTCTGTTCATGTCTTCTGCCCATTATTTGATTGGATTATTTGTTCTTTGGGTGTTGAGTTTGATAAGTTCTTTATAGATTTTGGATACTAGCCCTTTATCTGATCTGTCATTTGCAAATATTTTCTCCCATTCTGTCGGTTGTCTTCTGGTTTTGTGGACTGTTTCTTTTGCTGTGCAAAAGCTTTTGATCTTGATGAAATCCCAATAGTTCATTTTTGCCCTGGCTTCCCATGTCTTTGGCGATGTTTATAGGAAGAAGTTGCTGCGGCTGAGGTCGAAGAGGTTGCTGCCTGTGTTCTCCCTTAGGATTTTGATGGACTCCTGTCTCACGTTTAGGTCTTTCAACCATTTGGAGTCTATTTTTGTGTGTGGTGTAAGGAAATGGTCCAGTTTCATTCTTCTGCATGTGGCTGTCCAATTTTCCCAACACCATTTGTTGAAGAGACTGTCTTTTTGCCATTGGACATTCTTTCCTGCTTTGTCAAAGATAAGTTGACCATAGAGTTGAGGGTCCATTTCTGGGCTCTCGATTCTGTTCCATTGATCTATGTGTCTGTTTTTGTGCCAGTACCATACTGTCTTGATGATGACAGCTTTGTAATAGAGCTGGAAGTCTGGAATTGTGATGCCGCCAGCTTTGCTTTTCTTTTTCAACATTCCTCTGGCTATTCGGGGTCTCTTCTGGTTCCATACAAATTTTAGGATTATTTGTTCCATTTCTTTGAAAAAAGTGGATGGTATTTTGATGGGGATTGCATTGAATGTGTAGATTGCTCTAGGTAGCATTGACATCTTCACAATGTTGGTTCTCCCAATCCATGAGCATGGAACGTTTTTCCATTTCTTTGTGTCTTCTTCAATTTCTTTCATGAGTATTTTATAGTTTTCTGAGTACAGATCCTTTGCCTCTTTGGTTAAATTTATTCCGAAGTATCTTATGGTTTTGGGTGCAATTGTAAATGGGATCGACTCCTTGATTTGTCTCTCTCCTGTCTTGTTGTTGGTGTATAGGAATGCCACTGATTTCTGTGCATTGATTTTATATCCTGCTACTTTACTGAATTCCTGTATGAGTTTTGGCAGTTCTGGGGTGGAGTCTTTTGGGTTTTCCACATACAGTATCATATCATCTGCAAAGAGTGAGAGTTTGACTTCCTCTTTGCCAATTTGGATGCCTTTGATTTCTTTTTGTTGTCTGATTACTGTGGCTAGGACTTCTAATACTATGTTGAATAGCAGTGGTGAGAGTGGACATCCCTGCCGCGTTCCTGACCTTAGGGGAAAAGCTCTCAGCCTTTCCCCATTGAGAATGATATTCGCTGTAGGTTTTTCATAGATGGCTTTTATGATATTGAGGTATGTACCCTCTAACCCTACACTCTGAAGAGTTTTGATCAAGAAAGGATGCTGTACTTTGTCAATGCTTTTTCTGTATCTATTGAGAGGATCATATGATTCTTGTTCTTTCTTTTGTTAATGTATTGTATCACGTTGATTGATTTGCGGATGTTGAACCAGCCTTGCAGCCCAGGGATAAATCCCACTTGGTCGTGGTGAATAATCCTTTTCATATACTGTTGCATCCTACTGGCTAGTATTTTGGTGAGAATTTTTGCATCCATGTTCATCAAGGATATTGGTCTGTAATTCTCCTTTTTGATGGGGTCTTTGTCTGGTTTTGGGATCAAGGTAATGCTGGCCTCATAAACTGAGTTTGGAAGTTTTCCTTCCATTTTATTTTTTGGAACAGTTTCAGGAGAATAGGTATTAATTCTTCTTTAAATATCTGATAGAATTCCCCTGGGAAGCCATCTGGCCCTGGGCTTTTGTTTGTTAGGAGATTTTTGATGACTGCTTCAATTTCCTTAGTGGTTATAGGTCTGTTCAGGTTTTCTATTTCTTCCTGGTTCAGTTTTTGTAGTTGATACATCTCTAGGAATG